CATCTTTTTAATTTTGTGTGTGTGTGTGTGTGTTGGAGATGTTCAGGAACACGTCCATGAACTTTTCTGGAGAACTGTGTGGAAGCAAACTTGGCAAGATGCTTTTAAGATGCTTGGTTTTCGACTTCCAGAATTCTCCAGCCAGTGTTGAACTCCATGGGAATTAAAGTTGCCAAGTTTGAAAAATACTGATCTAGAACTTTTAAAACCATTTTCCTAGGATTCCCAGGTATTTTCCCATCCAGCATAACTAAGCATATCTGGCACTGCTTACTTTTTCGAGTCAGGTGCTAGGTCACCCATAAAATTCACTTCTCAGGTATCTTGACATCATAGCCTGTGCTAATTAACAAAAGTATCTAACATGTGTAATCACACCAACAAAAGTGATTTCCAAAAGATGAAACTATCTTAGGGTAATAAGTAACAAAATGAGGGAGAAAATGTTTGGACTGTATTAGGGATGTGGTAAAAATGTTTCAATGCTTTTAGATATAAGCATTTTGTCATTTTTCTTTCAACCAACATTATATTCCTATTTTAAAATCTGTTTTGTAGGCAAAATAATTCCTAATTTGTGAGAGGAATAGTGTAATATTTCCTCCCAATTATTTTTTTTAATGAAGCCACTAGTTGAACTTTAAAATTAATTTTCAATATTTCCTCGTTGGAATTTTTCTCTCTGTATAAGGAGACAAATATATCTGTGAAACAAAAAATGAAAATTCAGCTCCAAAGGTCTGGCTCTTTTTTACCAAATGACTAGAAACAGAAACCTGCAAAATGATGTTGGGAAAACGTATCTGATCAGTTAACTTTAACTATTTCCCAAGCAGCAGATACTAGTATTTAATTATCTTCTTACATTGGCCACTAGATGGAGAACATACACTATACAGTAAATTCCAGCTATTTGATTATAATCTCCTCTTGTTCAAAATTCAAATATAAAAGCGTCTTTACACTTGAAAAGAACCCAGAGTAAAACTGCTGAATTAGCACTGATCAAGAAGCTGAACTTGATCCATTAAGGATAATCAAAATAGGTCTTCTAAAAAAATGTTTGTTTAAATCTTCCTAGCATTATTCCTGTGCTATGGCAGGGGCCACTTGTCATTTCTTTAAATAACAGTAAACACTTTTTCCTATTGTTTTTCAGCAAATCTTGTAAAATGATCAAGATAGTGCTGAAGTGTAAACTTTATAGTGGTCTTTCATTAACTTTTTTTATTTATTAGTGTGCCACCATATTATCTAGATTTGCCATGGTGTTGCAGGGTATCGCAGGCTAAATCTCTCCACTGTCAGGAGTTTGATCCTGACTGATTCAGGATTGATTTAGTCTTCCATCCTTCTGAAGTCAGTAAAATGAGGACCCAGATTGTTGGAGGCAATACGCTGACTCTATAAACCGCTTAGAGAGGGTTGTAAAACTCTATGAAGCATTATATAAATATAAAGCAGTATATAAATAGCTATTGCTATTTACAATCAGTTAGTAGTTGGTTACAAAAACCCTATTATTTGCATCTTTGATTAATAGCATTTTACGTATTTTTAAAGTTCTTTGGCAAAAAATAAATTAAGAAAAGGCTCATAGAATAGTGTAAACATTACTTTGTACAAAAAATATTTATCAGTGTTAACAGCTCACACAATTGCATGTGATTGGGTGTTCGGTACACTAAATAATCACAATTTACTTTCATGCAGTTTGTTGTAATTTGTAAAGTAGGTCAAGGCAGGCAAGAAGCAGAATCTGTGAACTGATGCCGTGGTTTTTAAAGTCTTAATATTAGGTACAGATGTTGCAAATTGGTTTGCATGGAAAAAGAGGATGGTGGCTTTTGGGTCTTTTGCACTGGTACATATTCCCAGTTAAAATAAGAAAAGATGGAAGTATCGGTATTTGCTCATTGGAACCTCTAATAAACAGACCGAGTTGTAAAGTTGGATCTGTACTGAACCACTTCAAGGTAGGATAGAAAAGGTAAAAAAAAATAGAGCTAATATCCTAGTCTTTTCCAAACTGCTGGCTTCCAGATGTTTAGTATCTGACCTGCCACCTCCAAAATCTATGGGCTGCCAAGGTTATTCAAGAAGACTGGATAGCCATTTGTCCAGAATGGTATAGGGCCTCCTCTTTGAGCAGGGGGTTGGACTAGAAGACCTCCAAGGACCCCTCCAGCCCTATTATTCTATGTTCAGCACATCTGAAAGGAAGCAGAAGTCAGGCACGGTATCTCTATAATGTTATTAAAATGTTTTCAAAACTGGATGTAAAATGAGGGATCTCCCAATTTCCATTCTGGATTTTTCTCTGGGGGAGAAAGGTTGTGTCCTGACCAGCATCTCATCACATCAACAGATGGAGTGGCATTTCTTTGCTCCTGCTGACAAAACGATTCACTAAGATGGCTGAAACTAAGCTTGGCCCTGGGAAATGTCTATTGAAAATTACTTAACCTTGCATTGCAAATGCATAACATTTGAGGAGCATTTCAGATAAACTCCTTCAAAACAGAAGCTATCTGTGAAATCAGCTCTGCCGAGTATTTGGTTTATTGTTATTATTTTCTCTGAAGAACGAACACGCTCCCGTTGTAGAGCAAATTCCTCTTAGGGATTGCTACTGCATACGTGGCACTTGGTCCATGCATCATTAGAGACCAACAATGGCCTAGATAAGGTAGGACAGAATGCCCTGGACCATGTTTGTCACCAAACTAATAATAATAATTTTGGGTTTTTTGGCTAGCCTTTCTGCTAGGTTGTTTTCGGAAAGTTTTTACTAGTGGAATTCTTTAGTTCAAACTGTATTTTTAAAAAGGGTCCCGGAATATAAGAAAAGGAGAAGCTAACTTTGTTGCGGAGCTCAGTCTGAGGAAATTGTTTGCAGTGGTTGATAAGGATCTTGTTTTGTAAACTAGGTGGCAAAAAAAGAAAAGAAAAAAGAAAGCACATTTGATGGATATGGCTAAGTGGCTGGGCCAACAAGAGGCCTCAGGGCCACTAACCTGGCTAAGAGGGTCATTGTTAAAGGCTAGGTGAGTGGCTGCTCCAATCCTTTCTTTGCATTCTTCCTTGCAAGTATGTCTTGTCCTTAAGACTTTCTGGGAACAAAGCAAAGCTTGTTTAGTACACACCCAAACACTAAATGCAGTCCTTGAGGGAGGAGGCCATCTGATCACAAGGCCTGGAGATCTACCTAAAAATTAAATCTCAACGTTGACTTTCACTACTGAAGATAATCTTTAGAGATGATTTGGGATCAGGAAACAGTTACTTAGTTCATTGCACAGCAGTTCCATGGTTTTTGGAGGGCTTGTATATATGCTAGATCTGCCAAAGTTTCGTATTTGTGTAGACTTTTAACGCCTGGATCATGATAAGATAAATAATTCTAAATAAAAGCTTAAAAGATCATCTTGGAAAAAACCTCCAAATATTACCTCAGAGCTATCCTGAGGTAGCTAAAATGGGGATGCCCGCATGAGGTAACATTCTCTAGGCTGGAGTTATCAAAGGACAGAACTCAATTAAACTTTAATTAAATTTAGGTTCAAGAGCCTTTGCTGACTTCCTGGAATGTGTTTGCCACTGTCAAATTAAGTTAACGTGTTTCCTTCAGGCGGTGTAACTTTAGGATGAAAATGATGTAAGCTGCCATGAAATTCGCAAGTATCACTATGTTTGTGAGGGGGAGGCCTAGTCAAGACTTCAGGCTCTAAATGCCAAACACAATTTGATATTTTGCTCTTGGAAAAAGGCAGCTTTTGATGGGGCAGAAGAACCTGCTCCCACACACTGTGCAACATCTGTTGTCTAATGTTTGAAATGTGGATGAAGAATGCCTCGAGCACGGTTTTGAAGGCAAATGGGATTCAGGTTTTCTAAGAGCAAGGTGGAGAGCCTTCCGAACAAAATTACAGGAACAAGGAAGCTGAAGTTCTTTGTCTGCAGAACCTAACAAAGTCTGGGGCAACAGGCTCTTTTCTGCTAGCGCAGGGGTCTCCAACCTTGGCCACTTTTAAGACTTGTGGACTTCAACTCCCAGAGTTCCTCAGCCAGCTCTGCTGGGAGTTGAAGTCCACAAGCCTTAAAGTGGCCAAGGTTGGAGACCTCCATCACTTCCTGAGGTCACAGGATCTCCTTATTTTAATGGAATTTCAGCAGAAATCATTCAAGTTCCTTTAATGTGTCTTTTTATTTTCCCCATCTTCAACAGCTGGGAACAGATTTCACTGAGGTACCGTCGAGCAACATTTCATAAGCCGGATGTGGGTTCCTAGGATGACGACATTTGTATATTTCATAAGACAATCACATCAATGCTGTTTTTTTTCAACAACGGACACTTTTTTTTCCAAGTTTTTTTTAAAAAGGCTTTGTTATCCAGAAAAGAAAGTAACAGCACACTTGTTGTCATACCACTGCTACTCTTGTTTTTCCCAAACCACCACCCACCTTCCCAAATGATCACGAACATTTGAAATGACACTCGAGACCATAGAATGCCACATAGGTGCACGCTCACGCACATATACACCTGTACATAGACCAGCTGCTGCTCGCACATACATACACACACACACACAAAGGAAGTCCAGGGAGGCTGACTGTGCAATGCGATCCTCCAATTTCCAACAGCAGTAAAGCACCATGACCTGCCAGGCTTTCTTTAGCATACCATTTGGCAAGGATGGGAATCTTACATCTCAACAGACGGGACTCCCACCGTTTTTTGAGACTCAGCTTTCACTATCCATGGTCCTGATAGTGGAACAGGGGTCCAACTATTGGCAACTTTAAGGCTTGTGGACGTCAACGTCCAGAATTCCCCAGCCAGCGTAGTCTTAAAAAGTTCACAGATCTTAAAAGTTGCCATGGTTGAACACCCATGATTTAAAATGAGGTCACATTTCAACGGAGGAAGAATCGGGAACTGGTAATGCGTATTTCCCACTCCAATTCTTTTTTCCTTCTGTGCCATATTTTTTAAGACTGTGGTGGCAAGGGCTGCCTTATTACTGATCTGTCTACCCTCTGTTTAAGCTATTTTGGGAGTGGGGAAGGAATAAGAGTGTCAAAATGGTTTAAATAAATAATTTGAGAGTGAAATCTTCCTCTGTTGCTGTTCAAATCAGTGCAGGAGAGGCTGAGGCGAGCTTTCCCCTGTGCTGTGTGTGGCTCAAGAACATGACAAGGAACAGTGAACTGGCAGCCCACAAGAGTCAGTTAAGCAGGCCTGCATTCAGACCCAGGAAAACCCTAACAGCAGACTTACAGCAAAAGGAGAGAACAAACCCATCAACGTTTACTGAACGTACGAATTGCTCGCAACTTTCCCATTTAACGTACTGGCACAAAGTCTTCACTGCATTCTCCTGCTTTTCTGTCTGTCCCCCTGTCCCTAAGTCAAAGTGCATTTGCTTTCAAAGTAAAGAGTTTTTAAAATAATTTTGGCTGAGAGTCCCCCAGCCTTGTCAAGCCAAGTTGGACTTAGCTTTCCCCTCGTGGTCCTCCACAGAGGGAAATTCCACCTCTTGGTTCCAAGATTGCAAGCAGGGGCCCAGGCAAGGCTCTCTGAAGGCGAGAGAGGGGTGGGTGGGGGTGGGGACCCTGAGAGGAAGGGTTTTTTTTCTTTTTCTTTCTGAGATTCTCAGTCAGCAGCAGCTTACAAGCCTCCGGGGATCTTCTGCGACGGGAGGCCTTCTTCGATCCAGAGGGGAGGGGAGGAGCCGTTGTGCAGGGTTCGCCGGTGGATCCTCCGCAGGCGCAGCAGGTAGAGCAGGATGGAGAGGAGCACAATGAAGAAGCAGGCGAAGAATAAGTAATGGTTGTAAACGAAGGCGAAGCTGCGCCAGTGGGGGTGATTGCCCCGGAAGTTCTCCTGCTGGATGTCTCTGTGGGAGGAGGAAAGAAGGAGAGGGGGTGAAAGAGGTGCTTCTACTCCAGACCAGGTGATCAGAGGGACCGTCTCTTGCTGGTCACATCGACCTGACCCATTCGAGTGGAGAGGCAAGGAGCGCTGTGGGTCCCGTCCCCCAGGGAGATACACCCGGAGGGACTCGAGGGCCTTCTCTGGGGTGGCTCCTTCTCTCTCTGGAACATCATCCCCCTGGAGATTAGGGTGGCCCCCACTCTGACACTCTTCCGGAATGCGCAGAAGACCCGGTTCTGCCAGTGGGCCTGGGCAACCCAGAGCGGGATGGAGCCCATCAAATGGCTCATTGTGCGATCTGCTGTTGCCGGAGCGGGGACTGATTTTATTGTATTAATTTATTAGATGATTCTCTCTTTTATTTGTTTGTTTTTATATGAGTTTTTATATTCTTGTAAGCCACCTTGAGTTTCCACATGCGAATAGGTGGCAATATAAATTCCCTAAGATATCTATCTATCTATCTATCTATCTATCTATCTATCTATCTATCTATCTATCGAGATAGGAAGGTAGGTAGGTAGATACGTAGGTAGATAGATAGCCCCACAAGCATAAATCCTATGTAATAAATAAAGATGACAAATATAACATGAAATAATAGAGCATTTCATAAAAAAGTAGGCCCTGGTTCAGGGCTGTCCAACCTCGGCAGCTTTAAGGCTTGTGGACTTCCCCATCATGCTGGGAGTTGAAGACCACAGGTCTTAAAGCTGCCAAGGTTGGACATCCCTGGTCTAGTTATTTCCCAATGTTCTTTTTTTAAAAAGGTCCAGTTGCTGGAATGCTCTCAGGATAGGAGCTAACCCAGCCTTCCACAGGAAGGTTGAAGCAGGAAACAGGAGCCATTGCCCAAAACATTCTGTTTCCGGGTTCCAGTCTCCCTCGCTACACAAAAGCAGTGAGATACTTTTCTGGGATGTACACACTGGGCAGATTGATGGCAATATGAGAAGTTGGCGCTGAAGGTACCTGGGGCGCTCAGGTCATTTAGGCCTTATTGGTTAAAGCCAACACACTGAATTATACCCAGAATCTCCTTGCACGCCAATTTTCATTCTGTGAAATTCTCCTGCACACACACGTCTATTAGATAGGGAGGCTGGCACCCCAGGGCCTGATGAAGCCTGACTTCTGGTGTCTAGGGCAGGCGTGTCAAACTCATGGTCAGATGCATCACGCGCTGCCCACGCCCACCTCCCTTTTAGCAAAGGGGGGGAAAGCTGCAATACATCATGTGACGACAAGAGTTTGACCGTCCTGTTGTAGGGCAAGAGGAATTTCATCCTTGCAGCTTATTAGGTGAGGAGGGGGAAAAAAAGTGCGCCCCAAAAAGTAAGACACAGGCAATTCCACACATCAATCATCATCATATAATCCACCACTCCAAATTATTCTTCCAGGTGCTTGGCAGAAAAAGGATGGGCCATCCCTGTGTCAGAATTTACAGAGGAAATTTCTACTCCAAGCAAGGGGGTGTTTCTGTGACACCAACAGCTACGAAAACCGATTCCTGTTTTCCTATTTGCATGGCCAGCAACCCCAAAAGGACAGCGGCAAGAATGGTAACAGCAGAAGAGAATATTCGTAGCTCAGGGTTGAACTGTGGCAGTCCTTGGTGTATGATGATGTAACCTAGTTTGGTAATGAAATGTCTGCAAGAAGAAAAGCAAGTGCAGAGAGCACCAAGGACCCCGCAGCAAAAATTGTGTCGGGCAAACTGAGATGACCAACCAGAATTTTCTGCTTGCTGAGCCACGGCTTCCATCCACAAGACTGATCAGCATTGCATTGGTTCTACATTAGGCTTGGAAGTCAAAACAAATGCAGAACTTTCTGGAGACCATAATTAAAGCTTGTGTGTGTGTGTGTGTGTGTGTGTGTGAGAGAGAGAGAGAGAGAGAGAGAGAGACCAAGGCTGCCTTTGAATTTCACAAGTAACGTGGTAACGCCTTAAAAAGGTATACCTCAAAGGTAAAAACCGGGTTCGATAAAGGATGGCGCCCAACGTCCACTGCACCTCTTTATCGTATACTTGGAGTGCTGTTTTTAAGTTGCTGTAGTTCACAGGAAAACCGAAGCCATTGTGAAATACCTCGTACATCCAGGCTGACTTAAAGCACTGATACCTGCAAGGATAAAACATAAGCCACGCATCCAAGTGGGGTTGTTATTTAAACAGGAACAGAGCTAAATGCCACAATCCGAAAGAAGAATGAGCTAAATTCCACCGGTCTTAAGCACTTAATTGCACATTCAAGATCCCGCTGTTGTTACCAGGATTTACGCAGACATGCTCTGGATTCTGTCCAAGATAATTAGATGCCTCCTTAGAAGGGCTAATTAAGCTGTGCGACGACAAAGAGAAAGCTCTCCTCTGGGGATGGGGGGGGGGGGGGGCTTGTACGTTAATGAAAAGGAAGGAAAGGTGTGGGGTAAAAACTTAGAAGTCCTTCTCATGCAACTTGCTCCAAACAACTGACCAGTGGAGTTGGCTTTCAGGAGGGGAACTTTTTCAGCGGGATTAGCCCAGACAGATTTTCTGATTATTTCCGTAACCATAAACCATGCTTATGATTGGTGATCATTAATAATAGCCAATTTAATCTCTGAATAGACAGAATCGATGCATGTATCATCAAAACACCACTGATTTCTAGAGATGGAAGATAATTCGCTTCCTATTCATTCACCACTTATTTTCTATATAGTGGGAAAGGAAGCCACCTGGTGACCAAAAAGAGGCAGTTTTATCAAAAGGAAAAATATATATATTCTGTATGCCATCCCTCCTTTCTCTGTCCCTCCCTCCCTCCACCTACCTACCTATCACTTCCTTCAATTTATGTTAGGATTATATTGTCTAAAAACCTTGCATAAAGCAAAATTGCAAAAAGAAAAAAAGCAAGAAGCAAGATGTTTGGGGCTTCAGGAGAAAGATGTCTTGGTGTGTTTCTAGGTTTGGTTGTAAATTATGCCGACACAAATTGTGCCATAGTGACTTCTTTTTAGATGAAGCAAAATCTTGGATGAAAACAATTAACCACATAATATTGAATTGTGTAAATCAAATTCGCCTAGTGTGAAAAGCCAGTCTCTGCCAATTCTGAAATACACTCCACCACTAAACATACAGCATCTTTACATTCTCCTTAAAAGTGCTCCAAAAGCTCTTTATTTTTTAAAAATATCGAAATATTGGCTCCCTTGAAACAATTACTTAAGGAATTCAGTTCGGGGTCTCTCTCTGGCAAGGACTGTTTGACCACATTTAGGCACAGAAGAATGTGGGCGCTTACTTCACTCGATGAAGATCTGCATGGGATGCATACAGGCCACGATCAAATCTTTCCCATAGAACAGACCACTTCGTGGCACAATATTCCTGAGGGGAAAAAAAATGGAAATAAATATACATACATTATTTATATAAATGCACATACAGGATGTCTCAGAAGTCACTCAAAACTGATCAGTTAACCACTCAGTTATTCTGGTTTATTATCTTAAGAATTTATTTCCTGATTTATCAACAAATTTTAGCTGCCCTGTTATTTTTGGTACACCATATATAATAAAGAGCATTTAAAAATCAATATTTCCCTATGGGAGATTTAGTATCTCAAAATTCTGACGTTACAGAATGTGTTAATTTAGGGCTTTTATTGTGTGGCGTATTTATTATACGCAATCTCCAGCCTGAGCTGGAGAAAATCGGGTTAGATTTCTTAATGGCACTGAAGTTACTCTTAATTTCTCAGCCAAGCCTCGAAGTGAGATATGTCTGGCCTTACATTTGCAGCTTTGAGGAACTGAGCAGCGTTGTAATTGCCCCCCATCCTTAAGACGTCCTCAGTACAGTAATAGAACTCCGAAAACCCGTAGAATTCGCTGTTCTCGAAATGGATGGGTGGCTGATAGATGCCATTCAGGGACGTTTGTGTTTCGTTGGTCTTGTTCATGAAAGGCTGAATGACATCGCGACACAAGTGGAAATCTCCTGTCCCTCGGAGGTACAGAGTCTGCCCGTTCTGCTGGACTTCGTCCTCAGCGTCTAAGGGCAGGCAAGGGTCCAAGTAGGGAGTCTCGGAGGTCAGACCAATCTGTTTACCAAGAAGCCTGCAAGCAGAAGGGATCAAAGGACATCAAAAGGCAATCAATGGAACAGCCAAAGGGAACTGGATCTCAGTTAGAAATATGGAACCTGATTCCTTTGCCCTGACAGAAGCATTCTTTTGTGAGGAGGAAGGGTAATAGGGGAGCACAACCATCTAGCGCAAATCACTGCAGTTCAGTTATAGGATCAGGCGTAAACAACCAGACCCACGTGTACAGAATTCAAGCTAGCTACTTTATTATGTTCTGCCTATAATACAGGAATCTCCTCAGAGTGGCAGCCTTTTCTTGGGAGCAAACAAGAATCCAAGGAACTTGGATGGTGGCAGTGCTTAAGTCTTAATCTTTTTGTAGTTGTGCAGTGACTCAGGTTCTGTACTTGAGCTCTCTTCCTTGTCAGGTTGGTTTTTCCCGCCATCAGTTATATTTGGGAAAGCCCCAAGCCATGGAGATTATTCCTTGTTTGAACAAGCCCTGTTGATCTGACTCAGTCAACTCTAACACACAGAATGGTGTGTGAAGGAGTAGCTACTGTCCTCCAAACCAGTCAACCTGCCTGATGACAGGAGACCCAAAGGTGTGGATCTGATATCATCTACTTTCAATTCCTACTTCTGGCTGGTTCCCCCAACCCAAACTGAACTAGGGCCTTTCATATAAAAAGCTTCCCAGCCTCACAATTTAGCTCTTATGTTCTGGTATCTAATGAAGAGTTTTGTTTTATTTTTCCTGGTAATTTACTTAATTTGGATGAAGATGACCATGCTATGTTTGATGCAGGGTTTTTTTTTTTTTACTCTGCTCTACACCTTGCTGTTGCAATGTCATTTGGTAAAAGATTTGAAATGCTGAAAAGTGAAGGATCTAGTTCAGGGATGTCCAACCTTGGCAACTTTAAGACTTTAAGCAAAGCTGCCTGAGGAATTCTGGGAGTTGAAGTCCACAAGTCTTAAAGTTGCCAAGGTTGGACACCCCTGATCTAGTTGGTAGAACTGTGGCATATGAACATTTTGAAAAACAAACACACCTGGACCTTTCCTGTAACCACTGAATTATTTTCATACATACAATCGGGGATTGGCAATTGCAGAAAACCAGCTCTGCTAAATCAATTGTGTAAACAGACTTTTTCCTTCTGCAGTTGATGCGACAACTAATCGTATTAACTCAAGTAGCCTCAAGTCACTATTAGTCACCCCTAGCTTAGACTGCTGCATTTTAAAGAATGAAAATCTAATATCTATTTTTGTTGACATGTGTCTGTTTCAGAGATTTTATGCCAAGCATGTCAGGAAAGTTAGAATTCATTACACCACCGCACCTGTTTCTCAATACTGTGTTGGTGAATATGTTGTCTGCATATCTCTGTCGAGCAGCGTTACCGCCAAAGCCCAGAAAAGTTGCCACGTAGACGCGATACACATGTTCACTCTGGTGAGCGTCACATCCCAAGTTAAATTCTGCCAGTAGGTTCTTGGCCACCTCCTCCTGCCGGCGACCAAAGAAAGAGATTGAGAGACAGAGTTCTGCTCTGCTGTTTTCATTCCTCAGGTTTTGATTAGTCAAGAACACTTTCAGCTCCGTGGGTTTCAAACCCTTCTTGGCAACAGTTGTTTACAGTCAACACCTGAGCAGTAACCCAAGGATGGGACAAGGATGGGCCATCAAGATGTTGTCGGGTACAACCTTCCAACAGCTCCAGCCATTCATAACATAATACAAAGGGGATGCATCTGGAAAGACACTATTATCCTGGCCCTGCACAATGGAAACAACACCAATGTCCAAATATTTGTCAACTACAGGGTCAGCTAGGCATATGCCCATATAGACTACACTAGCAAATATTACACTTTTCCTTCCTCTACAATAGTTTTTAATGAAGATAAATTTTCAAAAGTGGTTTGCCATTGCTTGCCCCCTAGGGCTAAGAGAAAGAAAGAGACTTGGTCAAAATCACTCAGCTGGCTTTGTACCTAAAACAGGATTGGAACTCCCAGTCTCCTGGTCATTGGCCCAAAGTGTCCAGCTGGCTTAATACCTAAGGCGGGACTAGAACTCATCGTTGCCTAGTTTCTAGGCTGAAACCTTAATTGCAACTGAAATATTCTTGGTACACTTATCCTGGCCCCAAGACAAGCTTTATTTTTGATCCCAGAAATAGAAACTGAACAAGCAGAGGTTTCACAAGCCATAGATTTTGATAAAATCCTAAAAACAAGCAGTATTTAAAATTCAAAATCTGTGAATTTCTCTTGCCTTCTGTCAAAGATCAGGTATATTCTACAGAGATGTAATCCTAAAGCCTTATGTAGCTGTAATACTTAAGCATGGTATTGTTTCTAAACAAAGGTTAAATGGTTTGGAATACATAAGCCATTGTTAAGAAATGAATCCACTGCTTTATAGTGGTTAAATGTCTGACTGATCATGTTCAAAGCATGTTTCCTGAGAACAGGACTTTTCTGAGCATCTATATTCAGTTTTTCTTCTGTATCTGAGTTTTCAACCAGAGTTTAAGAAACACACCATGCTTAACTGCTATTTACAACAAGGCACCATTGTCTGTATTCATTTTCAAAAAGCCCACCGTGGTGCAGAAGGCACAAGTAATGTAGAAAAGGAAGCCTGGAGCAACAATAGATTGGAAAAATCTGCTGTTACTAAAAAAAGGACAAATCTGGATTTTATTCTTCCTCTTGTAAAAGCTACTCAGAACAGAAAATAAATAAATAAAACTGAACTCCCACACTGTACTGTACTTTTGACTATCTGACCATGATTCTTTCAATAAGGTACAACAGTGGGAGTTACACATCCAATTAAGCCAACATCAAACAAACCTTGTAATGGCTAAGCATGATGAGTGAATCCAATGTTTGCTTTTCATCTCAAAAGGATGCAGGTCAGGATTTTCTTTGTACTGACACTCAGGTCACCATACAGATAAAAAGCTCCTATTAATATTTTCCTGACAATATTTACATTTAGAATGATGGTTTTAAAAAGGCATTCCGTGACATGTCAGCCATTAAGAAATCGCCTCAAATGGTACCCATGAGCTGTGTTAACAACGCATAATTTTCTTTACGTACAGTATTAAAAAAAAAAGATAATTTCAATAGCAAAATTCATCCACGTGAGCTCTGTGTGGTAAGCAAACACTTTTCTAGCACACTGACTGATGGAATGGAAAAATGATGTTTTATGGATTGCTTAGCTGATGGGACACCGAAGTCCAGCTCCGTCTCTTCATGTGGGGGTGAACTGCTCACACACCGTGGGGGTTACAGGGACTCAGACCGTGCAAAAGAAAAGGGAATCAATGGAAATGGGTTAAAATGCAGGAAAACAAAAGAAGGAAAGTTGTACAGATAATAACCTGCTGTGAAGAGGCAAAGCTTACAGTTTTAGGGACTTCGTACGCTATTTGAGTCGAAACACCACCCATGTCAAGTATACCCACGGTCCTTTTCCGGACAACTTCCTCTTTGCTTTCGCTGCCAGGAACGTGAACTTCCACCACCGCCTCGTCCTCTAGAAGACAAGACCGGGGAAGAGGCGCGGCTGAAAATTTTGGCATGATTATACAGGGGGTCCTCGACTTACGACCTCAACCGAGGCCTGGATCTCCGTTGCTAAGTGAGACATTGGCTAAGGGAAGGATGACCTTTCCTGCCACAGTTGTGAAGGGAATTCCCTGCAGTGGTGATGTTTGTAACACAGTTGTTAAGTGAATCCGACTTCCCTGTTGACGTTGCACATCAGAAGGTCACAAAAAGGGGATCACGCAACCGTCATGAATATGAGTCAATTGTCAAGCATCTGAATTTTGATCATGTGAACATGGGGGGGGGGTGAAAAATGGTCAGAAGTCACTTTTTTTGTCAAAACTTCAAATGGTCACTAAACGAAGTGTCGAAGACTACCTGTAGCTGTTTCGATTCTTAATTTGTTCGCTAGCCAGAGTCATTTGTTGCATACGGATTAAATAAGCCAACAAATAAATAAACTGTTCTCAATATCTAAACACTTGCTGGGTCAAGGAAGCAACAGGATCTCGACAATGTCAGCGGCCAGAATGAATATAACTTGCCCAAGAAGAGCCTTTCCTACTGGAGAAAGTCTTAAGGGGGATGCGATGCTGGGGCATTTCAAAGAAACTATCTGAGCAGTGCTGTTAATATAAAAAAGAAGCTAAACTGTAGTGAGAAACATTAAGATCTGATATTTGTTTATGTTAATATTAAAATATTTAATAATGCAATAATATTCTTAGTAATATGAAGAAAAAATACTTCCCAAATGCCAAATGAATAGTCCCAAAAGAATAATATCGTGCTGGGAAAGTTGTGGAAAAAGCACTTAAACTGAATAAAAAGCAAGCAAACCAATCCAAAATCCATAGGAGGCCATACCTCTATTTGCAACAAAAAAAAATTACATAGAAGAGAATGAAGATTTTTGAGTTCCCAGAATTCTACTGATTGTATGTATGTATGTATGTATATTTTTTATTTGTATTCCCTCCCCAATCGTGCCTAGAGGAGATAGGATGACTCTTTCGGATTGATTTGGAACTGATTTGAGGGACAATCACTAAGAGAAAATGTCTTCTCTACAAGTCCTGATTTTTGTTCTCTATTAAAACCCTAAATGAAGATTTGAAGAATTATTATGGAGACGCTATTAACCAAGCACTGAGGCTGAGCAATTTCCATTTATAAGAATAAAGTCAGAGCAGGAAGGAAGCTGTACACTAACAATTCTATTTTAGCAATTCTTGGAATTAATTAATATTAAGGCCTTTACCTTCATCCATATGTTCAAATTTTCCAAGGACAAAGTTGATGCCAATCCATGCATATACGCCTGGATAAAATGTAAAAAGTACATTTGTAAATATTTTAATCACTGGGAAGAGGGAGGGAAGCTTTTAAAAAAGAACACCTTAACAAAACAAAAACAGTAGCAAAACAGATTATCTATCTATCTATCTATCTATCTATCTATCTATCTATCTATCTATCATCTATCTATCTATCTATCTATCTATCTATCTATCTATCTATCTATC